ACTCTCTGGGCCCGGCCCTCCAGCCAGTTCCTGACCCAGCACAGAGTGCCCCTGTCCAAGCCATGGGCTGCCAGCTTTTCCAGGAGTATATTATGGGAGACAGTGTCAAAGGCTTTGCTGAAGTCCAGATAGACCACATCCACAGCCTTTCCCTCATCCATCAGGTGGGTCACCTGATCGTAGAAGGAGATCAGGTTGGTCAAACAGGATCTGCCCTTCCTAACCCCATGTTGGCTGGGTCTGATCCCTTGTCCATCCTGTAGGTGCTGTGTGATTGCACTCTGGATGATCTGCTCCGTAACCTTGCCAGGCACTGAGGTCAGGCTGACAGGCCTGTAGTTACTAGGGTCAGCCTTGCATCCTTTTTTATGGATTGGGGTGATATTTGCCAACTTCCAATCATATGGGACCTCCTCAGTGAGCCAGGACTGTTGGAAGATGATGGAGAGCGGCTTGGCAAGCTCTTCTGCCAGCTCCCTCATTACCCTAGGATGGATCCCATCTGGTTCCATGGACTTGTGTGGACCCGGGTGGCTCAGTAAGTCACCAACTATTTCCTCCCGGAATACAAGGGGGCTATTTGGTTTCCTATCTCTGTCTACCAGCTCCAGAGGCCAGTTGCCTTGAGGACCACCTGTCTTACTGGTAAAAACTGAGGCAAAGTAGGTGTTAAGTACCTCAGTCTTCTCCTCATCTCTATTAACTATGTTTCCCTCCAAGTCCATCAAAGAATGGAGGTTTTCTTTATCCCTCCTTCTGTTATTAATGTATTTATAGAAGGACTTTTTGTTATTCCTAACAGAAGTGGCCAATTTAACTTCGAATTTTGCTTTTGCATCCCTGATTTTCTTTCTGCATGATCTAGCTGTCTTCCTGAATTCTTCGTATGTAGCCAGCCCTTTCTTCCATAGTTGGTAAACTCTCTTTTTATCCCTGATTTCCTTCAGAATCTCCCTGTTTAACCAAGCTGGTTGTCTTCTCCGCCGGCTTGCCTTTCGGCACACCGGTACAGCCTGTTCCTGTGCTCTCAAAACTTCCTGCTTGAAGCATATCCATCCCTCCTGAACCCCCTTGTTTTCAAGGGTTGTTTCCCAGGGTATGCTCTGGACTAGACTTCTGAATAGGTCAAAATCTGCCCTCCGGAAGTCCAGCATAGAGGTTTTATTGTTGGCTCGCCTTGAATCTCTGAGTATTGAAAAGTCTATTATTTCATGGTCACTATTTCCCAGGCGGCCTTCAACCACTACGTCTCCCACCAGCCCCTCGCTGTTTGTAAACAGCAGGTCTAGCGGGGCCTTACCCCTGGTAGGTTCATTTACCAGTTGATGAAGGAAATTGTCCTCTATACACTCCAGGAACCTCTTAGACTGCCTCTTCTCTGCAGTATTGAGCTCCCAGCAGATATCCGGCAGGTTAAAGTCACCCACAAGGACAAGGGCTGACGATTTCGAGACA